TGCAATGATGCATAGTCAGATGAAATGTGGCATGACTGTTCAGACTGCAGAAATTTTGGCCAAAGAAAGTGAACCACAACATCCAAGTTCTGAAATCCTTACATTGGCTTCCTTTATCTCAGAGAATACCTGTCTTAATTTTAAATGTTAACTGAAACATAATTGATTTTGATGTGCAATGTGTCTAACTTACTTTACCTGCTACTACTGGGTATATTTTCCTTTGCTTTTCCATGCAGAGCATTTTAAATTGTTTTGTTAAAGAAAAGTACCATATAAAGAAACTAGTTTTGGCTTTCCTTAGACTTTGATTATTCAACTTAAGATCCAAAATCCTAGCGGTATCACATATTACCTTATCCATTGGAACAAAACCTATGTGCACTCATGCTTAAGTGTTTTTTCTATGTTAATCGGACAAATATGTCTGCTGTATCCTGAGAATATGGGGTATCATTGAGTTTTAATCCAAATAAGCTTCAGCTGTCATAAAGTGACTGGAAGCAATACTTTTGCAAGGATACAGGCTATAGTATACCTCCCTATATTTACCTCCATGTTAGTTCAAGGTAAATTAACTTCTCACGCAGCAGCATTGTTCCAAACGAACCTTTCGAAAGTAGAAAAAATGTCTTTAGCTTTAGGCAGTAGTTCAGCAATTAAGAGTAAAGCAGGTTTTTGCAGTTCTCAACACACCGTTTTATTTCATTGTTTAATTCTATGTCAAGTATTAGGGTATGTGTAATACTTTTAGTAGTGATGATTTTTTATTTTCGAAATCCAGAAAACCAAACAATATATTTTTTTTTTATTTTCCTTGGTTTTTTTTTTACTTTCTCCTTTAATCATGCATGTACTTTACGTTACTTCTGTTGGTGTCTCACAGTATTAGTGTTGATTGGTGTGTGATTACAGTACTATATTACTGTACTTTAATTATGCCTTCTAGTTCACAGAATACTTGTTTCATTTATTTTTCGTTGTGAGCAAATTGACTTGGAACGACTCAAATCTGTTCCACATACAAAAGAAACCCTGTCTAACTATGAAACACTGCTTATGGACGTCTTATTGGTTAGTCATGGAATTCTAATTTCATAGAAGACTAAAATAGTTCTTACTTTTAGCCTCAAAGCTAAAAAGTAAAACCTTAAATATCTGAACAGCATTTTTTACACTTGTCCTGTCAATTAGGGCAATAAAATCTCACCAGATAAGGAAACAGATTGGGCCATAACTTCAGGAAAGCCTTGCAGAGCTTTAGACTCAGCACTCCACATATTGCTCAACATTGTCTTTCCCTTATTGTCACTTCATAGAAGGTATAAGATTCATAGAGAGATAACAGTATGTACTATATTTTTCAGAATTTGATTATATGAATCCCTCAGATCTGATTATCATCCACACTAAAACAAAACCTGCAACATAGCCAGCTCTATTAAGCTTTACTTGCATCTTTTTAAAATGATAATGCTTCTGAAGTCCACTTTCTTGCTGCTAAAGTCTGTAAAAAAAGTAACAGTAAAACATTGAATTAAACCAATATTAGCCTCCATATTCTATGATCTTTCCCTTCTCTCATCTCAAAACCAGTATGTTGTGTTATATTGGTCAAAATAAAACTGCTTTCTTAAAGGCTTTTAAGTCAGTTTAAACAACTTGCTTTACACTTCATTTCCTCATGTTTTCAGTAAAGTATTGTGCAAAAACTAATAATATGGTCCTACTGCTTAAAAGTCAAAGAGCATTGTAGCAAATCACTTTAGATGACTTTAATGTCTCTATGGTAAATTATTTAGTTAATTATCTTAACTCTTATCATCCCCCTATATAATACCTGTAAATAATTCTAGTACTGTATAAATAAATCAGTAGATCTCTACCTGCATTCTTTGAAGTAACAATCAGGAAAAATGACACACAGAACTGCAGCAGGGCGAGCACCTAAATGTCTTTTTATGTAAGAGTCATTCTGATGGAAAGAGCAGCTATTGAAACTGTTTTGAACAACTTTTATAACAGAGAGAATAAAAAAAAAAAAGTTAAGTGGAAGGTTGTGTCAAACGGGTTGCAAAGTTCTTAAAAGATACAAAAAAATCTGGGTGACCAGCAGTCTGTGTCTTCTTTTAATATAAATACATGGAAGAGATATTTTTTACTGGTATTTTTGAGGGACTTCTAGATGTTGGGTGCCTTCTTCTTTGTGTAACAAGCTAACCTCCCCTCCTTATTGCCCTCTTTGATTTCTCCCATTAACCTCTGCAGAACACGTCATTCATTCATATCACTAAACCTTTCTAATGAAATGCCTAATAAATCAATTAAGTGGCTTGTTTGTTCATGTTGTGTTCAGTTTCAGAATGAGCCCGTCAGGGAAATCATTAAAAAAATCCACTAACTTAGCCTGATAAATTCTCCCAACAGCACAACTTGTGCAGACATATCCCAATCAACTGTGTTAAAGAAAAAAGGAGAGAGAAACCTGGTAGTAAAGAGATTAACTGAGCTTTGCTGAGATGTGACACAAGTTTAAAGACTACAGCAAAGAAATCTAATTCTTCCAATCAGTGATATTTCAATCTAAGGTTAATTCCACATCTTTTCCTCTGTGAAATGTTTCAACCCTAAACACTTTAGGTTCGCACAAATTTTAGCCAAAATCTATTAATCTTAACTTTAAAGCGAGGTCAAGAAAAACATAAATCGGGCATAATGCATTCCTAAACTGAGAAAATGGTAAAAAAAAAAAAAAAAAAAAGATTATACTTAAGTTATGAGAAGCTCATCATGTTATATCTGAACATATATTCCCAGTCTTAGAAATATTACTTTAATTTACCGTTAATTTTCATCTTTTATCTTTTTTCATTTAATGTTTTCTTAGTCCACTGTATGATAGTTTGAATATTAACTGGGTTATTCATAAATATTAATAGTGTGTATGTGTAATTTACCTGATGGTAAGGTAATTATGATTTCTATGAATATAGAACACTTTGGGAATTTAAAAGGTAAAACAGAACTTAAAAGTTCAAAGCATTTAGCATTTTTCTTTATCGTGCTAGAAAAATACCTTAAAGATACTTTTTTTTATATGTTCAGAACTAATTTAAGCATATACTTTACCTGAAATAAAATTATGATTTTACTGAGAATGTGGTTTAAAATTGTGTTCAAGATAGTTTCTGTGGGTCCTGACGGTAAATGAAATAACCAAACAAGCCAGTAGTAACGAGGAATATGCAGGGCAAACAAAAAGCTAAACTTGCACAACGAGTTGAACTGGAAACATAGGAGCATAGTATAAGCCAGAGTGTCGGAAAAAAAAAAAAAAAAACCTCTGTGAAGTTATATTCAAATTTTATAACAAGTGAAAACATGCCAGGCTTCAGGTTTATGTATCAACAGATGAGAGTAAGCTTCTCCCGACTGACAATTTATGAAAGACATATTAAAACTTTACAAGAGAGAACAGGCCCTTTCGAAGATCAGGGGTGAGAAGGGAGAAGTGTGGGAAGATATGCAACTGAAAGCAAGAGTGCACTCAGCAAAATTACTCTTAGGTTATTTTCTTATTTTTCCAGCTGGGGAAAAAAGTATAATCCTGTAAAATTCACAGATATTCTAGGTTCTCAGTAAGAAGCAGGCAGTATATAACATGAGAAATACTTTCGTCATTCACACTAAAGGGATTACATAAAGCGATGGATGGATGTTCGGACTTTTTCATCAGATCTAAAAATCTTATTTTTGGAGGGCCAAACATTTTTGAATAAACTTCTATTCTTAATTATAATGAAAAAATAATCATGAAAACGAACAAGGATCAACATTTCTCATTTGCTCAACCGGTGCTGGCAAAGTATGCATGTACGTACTGTAGGCCTGTATGGTGATGCTGCAAATTTGCTCAACAAAGCAAAACAGCACCCAAACTCTGGGGACAATTATTCTTTTTTTGGCCTCAGAAAAATTTCTATTTTAATGGGTTCTATTCCCAGCCCTAGGTCTTTCTGCATGGAGTTTGCATGTTCTCTCTGTGCATGCGTGGTACTCCAGCTTCCTTCCACAGTCCCAAAACATTACTGTTAGGTTAATTGGCTTCTTTAAATTCTCAGTAGGTGTGAATGTATGTGTGCATGTTTGTATGTCTCTGTGTTGCCCTGCTACACAGCGACCTGTCCAGGGTGTATCTCGCCTCTCACCCATAGACTGCCAGAGATAGGTACCGGCCCCACAGCAACCCTGACAGGATAAGTGGGAGAAGATGGATGGGTTTTTTTTATTCTTCAGATGAAAATCTTGCGACCATTTCTTTTTTAAAATATACTTTTATATGGGTTTGATTTTACTCTAACAAAAAGAACATCCTAAACGAGGGCAAGAATATTTTTTCAATAAAGGTTGACATATTTATTACCTAGCAATGCATAAATGGTAGCACTTTTCTTCTTGCTGCAAGGCAAAAATCATCACTGTACTGAAATGCAACCTTTACTACCTATTTCATGGAAACAGTCATCCACCTTATTTTTTTTTTTTATATGGGGAAGGGGTTTCAGTGCCTGGATGATCCCAGAGGCTAGGCTATTGGGGGCTTAAATTCCCATGGTAGGGTCTCCCAAGGTGACAGGTCAGACAAAGAGCGGTTCACAAAATAACAGAGCTTGGTCATTCAGGAGGGGCTTAGAATAAAGCCGCTTCTCCTCCAAATCGAGAAGAGTCGGCTGAGGTGGCTGGGACATCCCTGGGTGCTCCAACCGGGAGAGGCCAATGGGACGACCCATGACACGCTGGAGGGTAATGTCTCTGAGCTGAGCTAGAAGCGCCTTGGTTTCACTTGGCAGAGCTGGAGGAGGTGTCTAGTGAGAGGGAAGTCTGGGAGTCTCAACTGAAACTGCTTCAAACCCAAATCGGTCCCTGATAAAGCAGGAGACGAGGTGTATGATTATTTTTTATATAAAATTCAAAAAGAAAACCAAATCTTCAGTTCCTGCTCATTTATTTTAGACCACAAAACAGACAAACAGTATTTAAGCATAACATTTTGTTCATTTCAACAAATATCCAATAACTTCTAGTGTTTTCAAGTCCAGGTGAAAAATCCAGTTTTCGAAATATGTGCAGACCGCCCCAATTAACTGCATATTTTCTGGCTTAAGTCTTTGAGCTCTTTAAACAAAGGGCTGCCTGTTTTATACTGTTTGCTAAACTGCAAATCCTTAAATAAATACAAGAGAAGTCCTAGAAAAATGGACAAAAGTTCTCAAAGGTGTTAGGCAAGTTATGCTGATAACTGCGTGTACACGTGGATCTTGTACAACTCTTTTGTGGAGAGGACCGCAAAAACACCAAAAAAATTATATAAAACTTCATACACAGGTATGACCCACAACTCTGCAAAAAAATATGGACTGCATTTGAATATACAACAAATGAATGGGCTGCAGTATAGGTCTTGTGTAAGCTTTCCTGGGAGGTTACCTAATCCTTAAGTGCTGTCTCCATGTGCGATGCTTGCTTAAACAAGGTCATGCGTGTAATTTGCACTGCTATGCTTTTGTAGTTCTTCACAGACCTGTTGAGAAACTGAACTATAAGAGACCTACGGTTTCCCTTCTGGCAGTTTGAAGAGTGAAGCTAAATTAGGTTTTTTCGTCAACCAGCACATGTTTGTGCAGAAGAAAATAATGATTTATATATTAAAAACAAACTGTCCAGAGGCTATCCATTGATGTGACACAGCACTTGTAAAAACAAAAGGGGGGTCATTCAGTACTTTTCAAAGAAAAATGCACATTTCAAAAGACAAAACTAATCACATTTGACCCAACCATGCTGGGCGTTTCAGCTCATAAGAAAAGAATCCAAAAGCAGAGGGGGAAGAATACGGGTCAGTTGTTTTGATGAGTTTTTGAGACACACTTTTCTTCTTCATCTTCTTCCTCTGTTTCTTCATCTCTTGAACAGGGAACGGAGGTTAACAACACCGTGTCTGCATGCACCTCCTCATCATCAGACTGAATCACTGGCGTTTCAGCGCCGCCTGCACTAGTCACGCTGGAACCGGATGATGTTGAAGCGAATCGGGACTGTGAGCCCCGGTAGACTTCATTTTGTCGTTGGAGAGGTGCGCGTTCCTTGTAGACAACCTCAGCTTCTTCGTCCTCTTCGTCTTCATCGTTCTCACAATCTATAACTAAGTGTACAACATGTTTATATCAGTTTCATCAGGCTTGGAGTACATTCATCAACCTAAGAATAAATTCTAGTTCCTTAAAAAAAAAAATAATATAAATAATAAAAAAAATAATCCAAGAGCACAATGCTACTACAACTTCTTTTGTTTCTATATTGTGTTATTTGCGTAATCAAACCTTGGTTTAATCACATTGTAGCACATTTTGCTGCATTGATTTGGGTATTTTCCATATTTTTGTTGTTGTTTTATTTTAAAGAAACAACAGCTCTACTAATTTGGTCTGATATATAATGGCATCTTTTCCAACAATTCTCCAACACACAAGCAGACAATAGAACCAGTGAGATATGCTTGTGTTTTTGTGTAGCAGTAAAAGGAAAAGCATCAGCCTTTTAAACCAGGTGTGAAATAGAGGACCAAACCATCTCAGCATAAAACAAAATTAGTTTTTTGATCAGATTTATAAACTGTTCTCTTCTTTAGGTAAATCAGATGAGTTACATTAACATGACTAATTGTTTTCAGGTATTAGCTGAAGAGGACTGATGTAATTAATTTCGAAGTTGCTGTAGTATTCAAGGATAATATATAACCTGTTGCTATTAAGTTACTGCAACTTTGTTTACACGTTTCCCCATTTTTCTAGTGTTGACATTTCTTCCAAATCTTCCTTTGATGAAATATTATTTTTTTTTTTCATTTTAAAATGACTTTGATAAAAGGTTGGAAATATTCAAAATTGGAAAGATAAAAAAAATAAACAGTGATAAATTTAAGATGTCATGATATTTGATTTATTTGTTAGAAAGAAAAACAGATCGTAACAGAGATTCTTGGAGCCTTCATTGAAAAAAAATGTTTTTAGAGGCTACTTGGCTGTCACATTTTCTAACGTTGTCTTTGTTGTGTTTGGCCTGTAGAAGGCATTTTGAATTTACCTTGATTCCCTGGGGGGGTAGGTGTGGTGTCTCCCATAGTTTCAAACAGATTTCCTCACATTGGATTCTTAGGGGAATGGTGGCCTAGTTACACCTCCTTCTTTTTCTTTGGTCTTACTTAAGCTATCTCTGCAGTTTGTGTGTTGCAACCTTCTTACACTGTGTTTCTGCTAAAATGCTTTAGGTTGAATCAATAATAAAATTCAATCTGTTGAACAAACAGCATGTATTCAGATTATTCTACCAAATTAGTGTTTGAACATGTGTTGTTTTTCTTTGTTTTGCACCTGGAAGTGGAGAGGCCAGGGCTCCTTCATCACCAACTGAGCCCGAGTTGAGAAAAACATCAAGGGCTTCTTGGTCCGATATGTCCATCAGATCCATCTGTTCCAGAGTGTCCACATTCACCTCCATGGATGAAATACTGCCCATGGGGGCTGCAATCGAAAATGTGATAGAAAAACAAAATGTATATAAAAAATATGAATATATAAACCTTTTATAACTTTTTCATTTTTTTATTTCCCTGTCTTGCTGTTGCTTCACCTTAATGTCCCAGCTTTAGATCAATAAAGTAGATATATCTATTGATCGATTGATTGATAGACCATCTACCATTTTGATCAGACATTTTGATGCATGATTGTCAGGTTAAAGAGCTGTTTATATTGTTAATGGTAAAACAACTGCCTGTTGTAAGAGCTCTTCTTTAGGCAAAAGTTTTAATTTCACATCTGTAGTTATTTGATTGGTTCTAAATAGTTTTCTGTCAAATCTGTTAGTTTTGTCTTTAAAATCCATCTCTAACCGCTCTTTTTGAATAATATGCCATTTAGATGGCATATTATTTGTTAGGCTAGTAACATGACATCCTGATGCTCTGCTATAACAGCGAGAGGGAAGCTGGTCAGAGTTGATGGAAAGATAAATGAAGTTCAAAATATTTTGATCCTAAAAAATAAAAAAAAAAACACTCTGCCAGCAAGTTCACAATTAAGTTAAACATACAACCAGATCAATGGGGAAAGCAAAGCCCTCATTTTTTGGAACGGCTCAATCAAAGTAAGTCCTACATCCGAATAAGAATTTATAGCAAGACTAGAATATTAAAAATCACAGCTGGTGTTTTTCTTGCTTTATTGAACTTGCAATATTTTATAAAGCTTAACCTAAGCAATAAAAATAAAAATGAGTCCGATTTAAAATGCACTTTACACCTTTAGATGTTTATTTGTAAAATTAATGCACTGCATGATCCTTACTACTTTGTGTTGTGAAATGAAATGAACACAAAAGAGGAAGCCTGGGTTTTGCGGTTGAAAGGTGATAAAATGTGAAAATCTTTTTAGGGTGGGAATTCATTTGTCAGGCATTGTATTTGTACAACCTGTAGACAATGATATTGAGCCTTGAAATATAAGAGACTTATATTTGAAATATAAGGGCCAATGAAATATAAGGGACTTATATTTGAATCAGAGGGTGATATATTTTTTTTTAATTCTCTTTCTCCTAAAATAAATATTCACTTAGTTGATGAGTACACAAAGCTCACGTTTCCGGCAGTCAACTTGTAGGTGAGTAGAGGGCAGGTAGTTGTCCATGTCATGCTGGTAGACCTCTTCAAAGAACCGTTGTCTGTCTTTTAGCTTCAAGTGCTGAGCCGAATCATTGTTGAGAAAACTCTGCGAGTGGTTCTTTTCAGCTGAGCATCAAAAAACACAAAGAAAGAGAAATATCCTCAGTATTTTTTTTTTTTTTTTTGTCAGTAAAGAAGTTTTATGGCCTTCAACTTTAAAGGTTACTCTGTTGCGAAACCATTTTTTTTTTCTGCAACCCGCTCTTACATAATATATTCAAATCAAATATTGTGTAAGAGTTACTTGGAATAACTATAATTGGGTGTGTCTGTGCATGTGCTTCAATGCATCAAAGGGAGTTCCTGGTTTAATTTGGAAACTATCCTTGAGGTTAATGGAAGCTAATTATTAAAAACGTTTGGTCTCTAAATACCTTCCTGCTACTAATTAACTTGGAGAACCTGTCCAGCTCTACCTCATAGGATACCCTTTACCTTGCTGCCACACCTTTGGTTTCAACAAAACAACAACAACAAACACACAAATAAAGGCCAATTGAGCATCATGACTAAGAGGTAAATTTGCAGCTTTGTCAGACAATGCTTTGGAAACTGATTCCTCCTGAAATGTTATTATACCATGGTGATGGTGCTGTGATGATTTAGTCCTTATTGCTGCAGTATGACACACTAATCTAGTCTGACCTCTAGTGGTGATCATTAATTTCACACTCAACTTCTTTAACATCCACTGTAATTCCATGAAACCTAAAAGATTTTTATTTATATGTCGATAATTCTGTCTATTTTATTTCAGTGTGTTGAAAAAAAAACATTAAATAGTATTAGAAATAGCATCTGTCCCAAATGCATGGCTGGGTAAGACGCTGACATTCATTAAGCCGACAGGCCGTGGTTGTATGAGCATGCTGTGTCCTCAGCACAAACAGTGACTCTGCCCTTGGCTCCTTAAGCTGACACTTTCAGTTATGTCACCCATGTTTTGTACATGAGCTTAAATCACTTTCCTCAGCTAGTTGATGAATGTATTTATGCCTTCATTGTGGTTTATCAGTCAATAATTTTGTCCATAATGCATCTCTTGTTAACATGATGTCCTGGATAGACAGATTCACTACGTGAACATTCTTTTTTTTTTTTTTTAAATAAAGGATTTTCAGGTTCTTTGTTCTCCTGCTGAAAACAATCTTCTGGAACGGCAGTGTGTCAAAGTGATGGTCCCCTCATGGATGGCTCCATCTCTGGAGAACCAGCTTGTCAATGTGCCAGTCTCTCTCTCTGACTGATCGGAAATCATGTGTGTCCACTGTCAGCCATTAACCATCAGCCTTTATTCTGTCATTCAAACTGTCTCTGGAGCCAGGAGCAAAAAAAATGTTATAGACAGTGTCTGATGTTTCAGCAGTTTGGGGAAATCTTGCCTTAAAGTTTTGTGAGTTTTTCAATATAAACAATTGAACAACAAACAAACTCAACATGCATGTAACACTTGGAAGAAAACAAACTGCTACAATTTCACTGTTCACTTGAGAATTTTACAGATAGGTGTGGATCAGGATGAGAGTCAGCTATCTAATGATGAAGCTATGAATTTCAACTGGAAAATAGTTTGCTAATCCCCTTTTTTTTGGGGGGGATCATTTTATACCTCTCTACCCTCCCATGGTCTGATAAAAGAAAAGCAAAACAGGATGGGTACATTTTTGAGATAGATCTATTATCACTTTTAGCATTATCACAATAGATAACACTAGCTTTGTTTTAGGTTAAAATATAAAGCTATTTTAAAATATAGTTTGCAAGACCAAATGATTTTGCAAGTGTGAGATTGTTAAGCTGAGATACAGTATGTGGGAATAGTTATTAAAGGGGAAGGTCGAGACTAAGAATGCCTAAGTCCGGTGCTGGAGAGCTACTTTCTTTCAACTTTAAGCACATCTCTTCTCCAACAGCCTTCAGTCTGATCATCCAATTCATTCAGTGTGTCATTCACACAGGCGTAACTTTCTGAAGGACTGATGGGGACAGTCCCCACCAATATTCTTCGCTTTATATGCCCTTCCCACTCATTTACTTTAGCCAACGGTAACAGAGGTTGGGTGTAGCTATCTGTGTTCAGAGCGTTTAGAGTCAGTGTTTTATTTATATCAATATATATCGATTTTGGCATTGGAATCGGCTGTTATTTATTATTTTTTTTCATACATAAATGTTTTTGGGCCCTATATTTGTAATGGACCAAAGGACATCTCTCTATCATCTATAAATATAAAAAGCAGTGTGTTATGGTTCTCTTGTGTTCTCAACAATAGGAAAGAATTCAATAAATATATGTTTGAGCTCATTTTTGGAAAATTCAAAAAACCTAATGAAAGCGTTCGGGTTGAGTAACTGTATGTCCATCAGCCCCCTCCCTTAGAATGTCCCAACCAACTTTAATTACAGTTACTCCCTTGCGTTCATATCAGCAGAGATCTGGTAATGAAGCTGAAATCAAGGGCTGCCGTTTTATAAACACTAGAAACAGTATCTTTGAAACATCCCATAGCAGGGCCGCTGGAAGAACTTTTGAACAAGGGGTGCTGTGAAAATGTTTTTGGTTTTTTTCAGACAAAGTACCTATAAGCCTATAGGCCTATTTAAAATACAATAAATGAAAATAAATAAATAGATTAAGATTCACTACTTTATTGTCCTATACACTTCAGTGTAGGCAACCAGGGTCTGTAACAAACAGACATCATCAGTTCTCAGGTGAATTTTGCGCTATTAATTAATGAAACTTCACAATAACACCATAACAACGTAGATTTGGTCAGCTGGCCTGAACCTTAGTCACTCTGTTTGTGTCACACATGACTATTAGCTCCAAAATCCTTTTACGCAAAGCACAAGGAAATAATTGTATTATTTTTCTATTGAAAAGTTGTTGAACAGTTCTCATTACACAATGAAAACAAGATCAAAATAACACTCTACAGTACAATACTGTGGTTGCGCTAAACTGCAAGAATAGATGTGAAAGTGTGCCACGACACCATGCTCTTACTTTGAGCTACAGGCAGGGTGCCCTCCCTGGTTACAGGTGTCCAAATGTTCAGGTGCGCTATAAGTTTGTGGAGACACAGTTTCTCATTATCGGACAAATCCAAAATGCATATCTGTGCCATATTTCCCCCTTCGTTTCTGTTATTAGACTATGTAAATTTACTAGTCTGCTGCGGCGAGCAGAATACCATGCTTTAACTTACTTGATGTTGTCATGACATCATAACTTCCATGAACTTCTGTTAATTGGGCCTTAAAATAATTAAATTAAAATACAAATACAAATAAAAGCAAAATTTTTCACAAAATATTCATTAGAAATATATAAACTGTGCAAAATCTTTTTAATAAATTTTTTTTTATGTCCCTCTCGCCTCTGTGGGTCACTGCGGCACCCCCACTTCCCGCGGCCATGTCTCATAGGTAAATTAGGCCGTTTCTCAATTCATAAGAACATGAGTAAGGACTCATGTTCTCGCCAAGTACAGTATGTTCTTGAGAAGAACACAGGAAAGAATGGACTTGGGGAGAATGGGAGCGTGCAGCATAAATATGGGTCAATTGGGACACAAGTGTACTCATGACGTCACCACACACTCGGCTAGTCTGGAGCTGCACTTCACCTCCTGTAATTAATAGTCTCTAGATAAGAAATTCTTACTTGTTTCATTTATTGGGGAAATAATAGTAAAAACAGTCAGATAAACACAAATAAATTGAACATTTTCCCAAATGAAACAAAAGGGGCAAGAACAACATCTGGGGATTTTATCCGTTCTCAGTCTGCTGTTCTTGTAAATTGGAACAGTACTGGGGCTGAGGCTGATGATATTTCACAATTACACAAGCACCTGAGAATGCACAAGTACACATTTTGAGAAAGGGCTCCAGTCTAATTAGGATGTTGTACATGGTAGGGGTGAATATTGGTGTGGGTGTTGCGATACGATACAAATCACGATATTGGGGTCATGATACGATATTACCACAATAATGAAATCTCACTATGTATTGCAATATTTTTTTTCCCATCAAAATTAAATGTATACATAAAAGAGCAAGTCTATATATGTTAATCAGAAGATATTGATAATTTTGTTATTTTTGTTATCCATGTTGTTTGGGGTTTGAGTCAGTCCACTTCTTAAACTGTGACTGCCTGAACTACAGATATTGCACTGAGCCGCACTGTAAAAGAACTCCACAGTGCCATCTACCAGAGTAGGGGTGCAGAGGTAGTAGGGCTGGGCAAATAATTGCATTTGCAATATGTAATCGCAATTTATTAAAACGAAATTTTCAAAACGCATATTTAACAAGAAACTAAATTTCTCCCTCCAGCCATTTAGATGGTGATATAACACTTAAAGTGGGTTTGTCGCTACACAGGTAGTGAGAGTTGCAGCTAGCAGCAGATCCATGCAAGTAGAAGTAAACACTTTTTTAAACAAAAGTTGAGGTAAAGTCCTGCAACAATGGACTCTGGGCAAGCAAGCTTTCAAAAATCAAAAGCCTGGGTGAAACATCAATAAGCTTGGGGTTAGTGCAAAAGAAAATTGAAATAAAATCACAATGGCAATTTTGGTTAGAAATAATCGCAATTTAGATATTTGGCAAAATCGTTCAGCCCTAAGAGGTAGCCAATTTTCCCTCATAGTTTCAGGTAAAAAATTATTTTTTTTTTTTTGTACCAGGAGAGTTTGATATTATATTGGGCTGCCGAAAATCACAATACATATCGCCAAATTAATTTTTTCAATACACTGTTGGTTCATGAAACAGAGGATATGGCATTCGCCCAGCATGGCACTGCTGCACCACAAAAAATACAAATAGCCACTAATCGAGTTTTCTGTTACTGTTGCTCTGTGATTCTTATCCTAGTGATTAAAAAAACTAGAGCATATATTAAAGAAATCTAAAGTCCATCTATTCAGCTCAAAATATAAAATTGTAGTGACACAGATAATAAAAGAATAAACGCTGTTAGGTTTACACCACCATGATATCACTCTCCTGCTTTGAGTATCGAGCTCCTGCAGAGAGATATTTGAAACTAGAAATTTCAAGAACAAAATCATTGGCATCTCCAGACAAAATCCAGGGATGCCAATAAAATAACTTAAACGTCTGCTTCCCCTGAACAGCAAATATCAGCAAAAGCATTCCTAAAAACCTGACTTAACCTCACTCATCCTACATATATTTCCATACAGCAGAAGAACACTGCATGGCATTTAGCCTTTAAAACATTTGTCTTTCATTAAGGCCGTTCAGTTTTCTTGAACTGTTCACTACATAAATTCATATGTCACATCAGAATTATGAGGCAGGGGAGGAAAGTCTGAAATGAATAAAGACATCACTGTGTTTCTGCTTAAACAAGGCTTGATGATGATGAAACTACACAGCTTATGTAAACCTCATTTCTGCCTGTTGGCTTCCTGCTCTCTTTTCGTGACTCTTGTTTGCTGTCTTTTTCTGCCCATGTATCTAAAATTCATACTGCATTACTCAAGATGAGATGACCACTGGTCATGTCCAACCCACATGCAGGATCAGTTGTGTGACCTCATCTGCTCGTCACTGCGTGGGTTGATAACATATATGTAGAAGACTTACTCATCTAGATAACCTCTGAGCTTCCTATTTTCTTGTACTAAAAAGCCTGTAGGAGGCCTCAATGCATATTAGATGAATTGCACTATTCTCTGTAAGACAAAAAGGCTTTTCTTGTCTTTACTCAGAGGGAATCCCTCACTTTTAAGAGGTTTTTCAAACACCAACCATTTAAACAATTGTGCTTTTATCAAATGTATTTTTCCAATTTACACCTGCACATGCAAGATGTGCAGACCCCCTTTCAGAGACATTGACAGGTTTTGGGTATTGCAGGCTAACAAAGAAGCCAAACGACTGCCCATTCCTAAGGGGCAGAACTGTTCGACTGGCTCAATTTGCATGTTTTCTAAGCCAAAAAAAGGCCTTTTTTTGGGTCCACTCTATAAAGCCTTGAACTCAGTGCGATTCCTGCCATTTTGAATTGAAAAAGCTTCCTGCATGGGAAGCGAAACGTCTTCAAACTTGGAAACAAAGTCCAGTGGAGTTTTTTTTTTTTTTTTTTAACCCTTTTGGAATGACTATGTCCTGGATGACTGAGAATCTTATCTTCACCAGCAACTTCAAGGTAAATTGAAAAACTAGTAGCAAGTCTTTGAACTTTATTACTCCATAAACTTTACGCAATGTTCCTATTACAGCAGCACTGGAACAAAACCTAAGCATGAGCCAACCACCATGTTAGACAACTAGTACTGTATAATCTGTTCGTCATGATTCTGCACTTTGTGGTTCTGTTTAAGTTTTCTTTTAGAGTTTTCAGTTACATATTGATTTATGTCATTCTGTGTTTTTTAGCTAATTGGTTTAATTTCCGATGTACTGCTGGAGATAGGCACCAGGACCCCTCACAACCCCAATTGGGACAAGCGTGTCAGATAATGGATGAATGGATGCTTTCATTTCCATTTTGTGTCATTCTAGCTGTTTTCTGGTTGTCATTGAGTTGTTATGTATTGTTTACTCTCTGTTGCCCCCTTGTGCCATTCTCCTTTCACCGCTCTCCCTTCTAGATCCTTCTCTCCACACCTGCTCCCAATCAGTTGATTACTCCATTCTTTGATCTGTTTGGCATTTATACTCCTCCTCTGCAGTTACTGAGGGCTGGATTCTCTTCATTCCCTCCCTAACGTATGTGTTTCAGTGTGGTTCCTGTTTTCCTGAATTAGTTATTTCTGGATTTATGCTTCTGTTGCCACCACTCCTTATTAAATCTGCAAGAAATGACCTCACATTCCGTCTCTGCATTGGGGTCCTCTACAAACCTCCACCCAACCTGACTGAACTTAAATTTCCTAAAAATTCTTCTTATCTAAGTTTGAGATGAATCTTTTGTTTTAGCACTTTCAAGTTCATGGAAGGCTTAAGCTTTGTTGAAATGTATTTATTTTCAACATCCAAACCAATTTATATTAATTACAGTGGAATATTTAAGATACGATGGCTAAAACCTGGGCAAATTTGGGAACAGAAATGTGGCAACTTCTCAGGAGACAGCAAATTAAATATTTAAAGGGATTTATATATTTTACTATGTGGATTAGAGAAAAACACAGTAGATTTAACCAGTTTACAATCCTACTCAATACATGAAGTGGGACTCATTTGTGGGATCATAAGCATCCTTTGAGTAAAACAAACTTTAAGCAGGAATTTATTACTTTCAATGAAATACCGTCTGTATTAGAAACGTTAATTATTCTGATATAATAATCTTAAAGAATGCATTTTTTTTAATATCTGCAAAGGCAAAATCATATATAATTATAAAAAAGGCTTGAAAACTAGTGTTGCGCCGATGCCATTTTTTGGCCCCGATACCGATACCCGATACCTGGCTGTGCGGTATCGGCCGATACCGATACCACCATTTTAGGGCAGTATCGGGGCCCCGTCCGATACTGGTATCGGTATCGGTGCAACACTATTGAAAACATCACTCTGTTGACTTAGTCAAATCAGATACTGAAAAAAAACTTTTCAATGATGTTCTAATTTACAGAAAATTGAGCCCCATGTTTAAATATGAATAACATTTTTACATAATCAGTTCACTGTAGAAGAGGAAAAGTTCTGATGTACATTAAAAGATCCAAATCAATAAAACACTGGTGCTCATGATGACTGTATGTTCAATTTGGTACAGGATCCTTTTTAGGTTCATCCAGTTACATATTTATTTTTTCATATCAAGGAGTTTAAGGCAGCATAAGATCAGGAGTTATGGGTAGGACGGCAAACGGTAACTGTTAAGCTGAACCACATAAACGTTTGAACAGCCCAACTTTAAGTATTTTGTATCTTTAAAGCAGTCTCTCAAATATTCCAGATTGTTTCTTTATTTTTACCAAAGCATAAATTAATATATCTGTCTATGTTGCTATTTCCCTTTACAGCAGCTATTCCCCCTTCCCTTCTTTGTACTATCCTTCCTTTCTGGAATGAATAATGTTTGACTGTGTCATTTAGAGCTGCAGTTATACCTCACTGTGTGGCACTGCACTAAAAGCAGAGAACAAATGTTCCTATTGAACCTGTGAGTCACATGGCGTAGCATTCAGTTCCCTTGTGGTTAGTGGCTAGAAATCCCATGATCATCTCTCTGATTCCAGCAAAACCACAACTCAAGAGCTTGTGTGTGTCTGATAAAGCAGCTAAGGCTGTTATGCTGCATGGCCACTTTAATCTGACAGGCAATCTATCTCCTTCACTCTCTCCCCCACCCCTTGTGATGCCCATGTTTATGTCACCTATCTATTTTCTGCTGTGTATTATTTTTGTAATTACTACCCCTATTTATCGGACCAAGCACTCCTTTTTCAAACACCTTGTAGCCACAGAAGTCCATCAAACATAAATCATTTACGAGTGAGATCACTTCACCGCAAAAGCACCCACACCCGCCACCACCCCCCCAACCCCCCCCGAGTCTGCCCCCTCTGCTCTCACATATCCATAAACCCACAGCCACATTGCAGAAAGTAAATCAAGTCTGGCCATGAATGCTGTTCTGCTCCTTTTTTCTTTAACCAGCACTCATGGTAGTCTATATAATGCTGTAGGAAACATAAACCAAGGATAATAACATGGTTGCCATACAAACATGTGGCCATGCTAAATGTCTTAAACATCACCATCAACATGCCGCTCACTGTCTCACCTCATCTCAGCATCCTAGTGTTGACATTTTAAGTGTCTGAACTAAGTTGGATTTACCAGACTAGTTCCTTTCCCCAAGCCATTAAAGAACTTCCCTAAAGCTAAATATGAAGATAACCTCCACTCATGCTCAATGTTCCTAATATGGGAAAGTCAAAACAGGGCTTTCAGTGTTTCCAAATACTACATTTGTATACAAAGTATTTGTATACATTAAAGCTTGTACTTCATTATTCATTAAAGTAGTAAGTTAGAAAACCCCATTTTTACTCTTGATGCTACACTAAAAGAGTTACTCCAGGGTAATTTAATGAATTAAAAATAAAGAAAGTGCATAATCTGTGCAAGAAGGAGGTTGGTATTTAAGTCCTCATATCAGGACCCTTTGTGCATTAGCTTTGTCAGGCTTAAAGAAGTAGTTCTTATCCCTTCACACTCATTAAATCTCATCTACTTCGACATTGTTGCACCACCATCAAGGTTGTCAGGCTAATTTAGAAATGCCAGAGTCGACAGACCATGACAGTTTTATGTGCTTCTAATAAGGAGTGGAAGTGTTAAGTCCATGCATAAGTCATTTTTATATTTTGGGGCAAAGAATTTGATGATTTATCCTTAGGGTTTAGTTTTCTTACCAATGAAGGTTTGGAAGTATTACATAACACAGAAAACCCATGTCAGTTTAGATAGAAGGATTAGGATGGCACAGTCAGTATTAATTTAAAGTTGTATCAATGAGCTCCCAGGTTACATAAAAAAATTCTATTACAGGAGATGCTGTTCAAAGTTTGCATTAATATAAATTTCATTTAAATGTTTTCTGTTGTTTCAAAAGAGGAGGCTATACATATAATTCCAGATACAATCGAGCAACAGTGCAGAGTAAGAACAGTATAGGAAAAAAGGAACTTGAGATCAGTGTAATGCCAATTGACTGTGGCTACATTTATAAAAACTAAATAGAAATATTGGTTACTCACATGCCAAATGCTTGTTGTGGTTTGTCGAGCCAGTAGATGACATGATCCAGCGATATAAGTCTGGCTGAAGACTGTTTACCTTTGACTGAGAGTGTATTTTTTCTCCTGTCAAGGTTCCAGGAAAAGATGCTGATGTGAGTGTAGTGGATGGTCATTTAGTCAAAGCATTTCTCCTGACTTTGGTACCCTTAACTGTCACGATTGTAAGCTCAAATTCCCTTTATCTTTTTTTTTTTTACCCTGCTCTGCCTTTTTGCTGTGTTCGCTGACTCCCTCCCTTCCCCTCTGTCCAATAAGTTGTTTTTTTACCCCAGGTTTTCCCTCTCACTGACTCTCACTCTAATCTAGGCTGCTTTGCCGACTCTTTTCTGACACACACACATATAAACTCAGACACACATACTCTCTTAGTCACTCTGTCAGACTGGCTAAGTAGGGTTGTAAGAAGCTGTACAGCTTAGATGTGATTTATGTGTGTGGGGAGGTGGGTGGTGGATGGGGGCTGTGTGTGAGAGTGTGTGTGTGTGTGTGTGTTTACGATAAGGGGATGAGTGAGGCATTGTGGCCTGTACCAACTGAACACTGTAGGGGTCAGCAGAATCAGAAGAGGATTTTTCACATTAAATCTGGAGAAAATGACATTGCAGGCATCATTTGCTTTGCTCAAAGGTTCCCACTTCCCTTTTTCTACAGTATAACTGCAGCTGATTAAAAGTGAACTGCAGCGAGAGGCTTGACAGGAAAAACCTTATTTGTTGCATATTCTAAATATAAAATAGAGTTACTGGGGAAGTTATTGTTTTAAATTAATGCTATGTATTACTTTAATGATGTCCTAGAATTTTTATTCTATAAAGAACTTCAAAAATATATGGTTAAACTAAGAGGAAAGGATTAATACATTACTATTCAACATGTATACCAAATACTTAATAACTTCCATTTTGTAAACTTTGATTAATGGGTTTTCTCATTTGACAAACTCTTCAGTTCCTAGATGTTGGAAAAACTAAAGAGCCTGACATGAGCATTGATTATCCTTGAACATCTTTACATTTTCCTACAGTACAGTCACATACTGATTGGGTTTTGGTGATTTTAATGTGATAGACTAAATAGTGCAATTGCCAAAATGAAAGGAAAATGATGCATAGATGTCTCCGACCTTCCATTTGCTCTCTCCTGAATCAAATTCAGCACAACCAACTAAATAATAAAGAAAATAAACATTTGTTAAAGATAATCTTTAATAAAAACTGGGTGACCAGGCACTGGGTGACCAGGCACTGGGTGACCAGGCGCTGGCTGACCAGGTGCTGACTGGACTGGACCGGGCACTCGAACCGAGCCGTCAGCTCCGGGGCTGGTCCGGGAACCCCGGCGGCCTTGTGAATCCCAACCTGGCAACAATGCACATAAGACTGGAAAGATCAGGCTTTAGACACAAAACCCAATCATGCACCGCAACATATTTTTCCCAAATATTTGAACATCAAATCGCCAAATATAAGATAAACATTGTTATTTTATTTTAAAGAAAGCATTTTAGTTTTATCATAATTTAGTATGTTACAAGGATTTTACCGTGTGAAGAAATGGGATTTTACACTTTGAGTTTGAAGAAACAGAAAATTACACAATATGCCAACCGTTGGATATGCCCAAAGGATGTGCATGAGAAGAAAGGGCTCTATATACTGCATGCATCATGCAGGTAGGTAACATTGTATTACTTCTTGAGCTCCTTGAGTTACTTACTGTACCAAGTAGGTGCTTCAGCCAGAGAGTAAGTGTTGGGGCCGGTATGACTTAAGGAGGGCCGGCCTTCGCAAGCTGACATTAGGACCGGCCCACCGGGCCAATGAATGGTATCACAGATTAACAGTCCAAGCCTGCCTACCTACCTGTCTTTATCCATGCTGGGTCAGATCCTGACATTTGAAAAAGGAGGCAGGGAAAGCAGAATAAAGTGTAAGCCTTGCTAAATGCAGTTAGCCAAGCCTTCTTGCTAAACAACGTCCTGGAAAAGGACCCGCAAAGCGTATGCACTGTGTCGGGAGGTGGTGAGCAAATACACTTCCTGTCAGCTCTAGTGCGCCCCGAGCTCTCCTATACCTTTTTATTTCAGAAGGGCTACTGTGCATGTAATGAGAGTCAATTCGATCTTTGCACATAAATTAATGACGACACCTCTGTGTTTTATGAGGCTGGTACCTGGTTTCCGGTTTATGCAACAATAGCGACAAGACGCCGGGAAACTTAAGTAAAGAGGCTGGACATGAGTCTTAAAAAGGGACGCATTCATTTCAGCAAGCAACAGAAGCAATACCACAAACACTGTTGTGTGCCGTTGTGTTCGGCATCATCCAAATATAATGGCGTATTGAGCTTTCATGCATTTCCCAGCGATTTCTTAAAGAAGCAAACAATTCTGGCAAAAACGGAGTTAGGAAAAAGGAGATTACAGAAAGGAGTTTTCCTGGTACTGTTGCAGTGGAACAATTGTATCATTCCACCACCGAAGTTGAGTGCTTGAGAGAGAATGCAGGTGAACACGCCAGAGCCAAAGCAAGAGCCATCAGATGACGAGCAAGCAATGGACTGCACACACACCTGATAATCACGACTACCCTAAAGCACCGGAAGCAGCATTCCTGGATATGGCCCTCGACAGGATCAAGGAATTCGAAGAGAAAAACGAAGCCTTGGAAAAGAAGATAAGCCATACATCTGTGTTGGAAAGAGTCATCCAATCCGATGTCAACATCTGACTCTACACAAGGTAAATACATAGCAACCTATTAGCATAATATGAGTTTGTTGTCAAATAGAAACCTTTTTGAAAACTAATACTTTTCTGCTCTCCTTTTGTAGATTTCCCAATAATCGCAGGCTCATGCTTTTTTGAGAAATTATTGAACCATCTTTGAATAAAATGGTTTGTGCATCCAGGGTCAAAGCTGCTGAGAGGATTGCCCACATGGTATGCAATTGTGTTATTGGTCTTATTATTGTTGACATTGGTTTAATAATTAAATGCAACTAAAATTGTAGCCATTTTCTTATGGGAGGCCTGTTGCATTAAATAATTACTGAGAAACTGCATTTTATTTTTGCTTGTGTCATTTTTGTTTAATGTTTACATCTGTTTGGTGATCTAAAAATGTTAAGTGTGCCAAATGTGCAAATAAGTAAACAATCAGCTGGAGGGCAAAAACATAGACATGGCACTGTATTTTAGTGCAGACACATTGTCAATTACTAGTCACGCCCATTACATACCCTTTTGTTATTAGTGTGAATATTATTTGTTTTCCTTTACAGAGACAGTCATTGCAACCCATTGATGAAATCTTCCTATTCCTGATGTACCCGTCTGCTGGTTACACGGAGCTGGACTTGGTGAACAGATTCCTTATCTCCACCTCCACTGTAAGTCACATTTTCTGTTCCTGGACCAACTTCCTGTACACCCTTCTGGGCTCACGCGTCCATCTGGATGGAAGCTGAGAATGTAAAGGCTTACCTTGCGGATGACTTTAAGGACTTTTCTGACACTCAGATAATAGTCCACTGTACAGAGCTAAAATGCCAAACCCCTTCCTCTCCCGTCATTCAAAGTGAGATGTACTCATCCTACAAATCTCATTGAACAATGAAAACCCTTATTGGGATAGCCCCTAAAGCCCTACCTATATCTCTTCTCTTTACGAGAGGTCAATTAGTGATAAAGAGGTCTTTAGGAAATCAGGGTTCAGTGACCTTCTGACAGAGGATGTGGCCTTTATGGTTGATAAAGGCTTTCTAATGAATGTTTTCACCGCTATCTCGCATGTAGCCCTGTCTTTATTTGACTCTGATTTAAATACACATGAAAGTGTTTCAACACATAGGTGTATAGAGCATGTTACACATTTTTTTCAATTGAATGTAGTTTTACCAAAACAAATAAATACACGGTTGATCCAGTCACACAAACCACTAACGTTAGTTAGTTATCCTGTTGCTAGGTTAAGAATAGCCACAAAGTCTGTTAAGAATATTGACTTAGGTTACTGTCATGGTTTTATCTACTGTAAAGCTCGGACCCACATGCAGAGAAACCAATTCAGAGAGACCAGGGGAAAAGGTTTAACAGGTTTTATTGAAGACAGAAGGCACGGTGCAGTGTTGCTCTGAACTCTGCTCAGCCGGAACTGGAAGGTGAGGGGAAGACACAGCGATTAGTTCAGTCTCAGTGGGAAATTTCATCCGTGGATTTTGGAGAAGAGGATCTGGTTGTTGACTCACGTTTCCAGAGAAGTTGTAGAATCTTTGACTCCAATCTGTGTGCTGTACTCCAGTGTTAGTCTGATTCGGTGGAGGGCGGAACAGGGTTTACCCAGAACACGGTCGGTTGTAGGTGAACGGAGAAACTGATTGCCACTCAGATTTCCTGCGGTACTTGAACGGGTCGTAGTGGAGATGATTCCCTTGCTCAGTGTGTAAACTCAACGTCCTCTCTGGGAAAGTGGATCCAAAGCTCCAGTTTGAGTCCCCAGCTCAGTTTGAGGCTCAGTTGATCCCTCCAGGGAGTGAAGGTCCGAAATATCCAGTTTGCAGGATGACTTGCTGCCGAGAGACAAAGACAAAAAAAACTAAGTTTAAACTTAGGTTGACAAGAACTCAGTCTTACTTAGCAACAACTCAGCTTGGCTAGAGTACCCAAAACTGGCAAACACTCTGGCGTCGAGGTAGTGGCAATCAGTAGCTTAAGAACACTCCGCTAACAAGGTAACCATGAGCAGGTGTGTGAGGAGGCGGACCAGAACCAGGCACCTCCTGTTGGAGGAAGGGAGACAAACACAAAAAAACAAACACACAGACTGGAGCCCTGATACTTACCTTCATATTGATGTATGTATGTATGACAAAGCAAACAATTTAAACCCTTTGTCTACTTTTGACGTCAATGTCTTAGATGAGTCTTTGACTAAACATGTCTTAATCAGGGTCATTGGGTGTTTGGCTCCCTAGCGCACTCTATTGGCTAGCAACCACTGCTTATTGAGGTTGTTGGGAACAGTGGTGGTTATAGAGTTTTACAGCTGCTAGGAGGAAGGATCTGTGATAATGCTCCCTGGTGCATTGAGGGAATTTCCTGATTTAGGGAATTTCCAGAATCCACTTGGACATGTGCTGGTCTACTCCTGACAGCTCCAGCTTGTCCCTTAGGAGTCCTGGCTGGATGGTGTTGAAAGCACTGGAGAAATCAAAGAACATTATCCTCAAAGTGATTCCAGGTTTTTCTAGGTGAGTCAGAGCTTGGTGCAGGAGGAAGATGATGATGAAAAAAAAAGGAGAAAGATGATAGCATCCATCCATCCATCCATCCATCCATCCATCCATCCATCCATCCATCCATCCATCCATCCATCCATCCATCCATCCATCCATCCATC